ACACATTAACGCTAATAATTGAAAACAACAACATAATCACACTCTAGAAGAATAAACACGCACACACATTTATGTATATAACCAAAACACACACAACAAAGTTTAGCGCAGTAGAGAAGTTAATTGCAAACGTGTATATATTGATACAAACACACACATTAAATACGTATACACTTATAAAAAAAACACATCTAAATATTTGTACTCAAATGTGAGTACAAATAAAAAAACGGCATGTATACAGACACATGAACATTTCAATGTGAACAATGCATCGAAATGTATGCAGCCACATGCAAACACATAAATATAAACAATACATCAGCAGACTTGCGCATAAATAAGCTCGCACTCGTGATGTACGTCGACTTATGCATACCTAATGCGTGCAGAAAGGAATTAAGAAGCTAATAATGTGTTCGAAAAATAATTTTTTATAACACTGAGAAGCACGCACACGTAGAAACACGCAACAAGATACACAGGCAGGGAAGAACACGCATGCAACCACACAGACACACACACACACACACACACACACACACTCAAACACACAATCACTTCTGAACCACACTACATATCGACACAGGGCGAAGGACTCAAGAGACACAAATCATAAAGACAGGCTTGCAAATGGCGTACAATGCATATTATACGCATTCGTTGTTTTTTGTTGTTGTTCTTTTACCATAAAACTTTATTGTCAAAAGTTTGTATTGTTATATTTAAAGTAGCGATACAAACAAAAAATTATAAGCAGGAATTGGTATATCTATGAGAGCAATGAATTGAAGAGAAATAATTAACAATGTATCAGGCTCATAATATGTTTATCATTGGTCTGAAATTATGATGAATGTTTTACTACAGGACGCATAAACAGCATTCAAATGGAAAAATATACAAATGGGAAAAAGAAAAATGTTTTCTTCCATAATTTTGAATATAAAGATGTTTGAGATAATGTGAATTTTATGTCGTTATGACTGCTGCAACTTTGGGACTGAGTTTATTCAAACAATGTTTATGCATTGTTTATGGTCTTGTGAAATTAAAGTTTACATTTGAAAAAGATATAGGTATTTTTTGCGTTTGTGTGGTTGAGTATTGTTGGTTTGGTTTAATATGTGTTTGCTATAATGATAGGTTTGTGATTTTCTGATGTTTATGTTTAATATATTTAAAATGTAACTGTGTGCAACATAAATGTTTGACATTTTTTGTAATCTTTATACAAAAGTGCGCACGGTTAAAGCTTTTTGTTTATTTAAAATGTTTGATACATACAATGTTACAAATATAATGTTTTTGGCGTGTCTATCAATGTTTAAGTAATGTTTAGAAAATTTAGAAATGTAATGTGTTTAAGTTTAGGTAAAATTTGTTAAATTGTTAAATATTCGTAACGTCATTAAAGACTTAACCAATATCCACTTTTTAAACGTTGGTTGGACTACGGTGCATGCATGTATGTAATGTTTGTAGATGTTTAAGGTTTATGCATCGCATACGTTTCTTTAACGTTTGCTTGGTTTTTATGTTTGTTTAATTTTTATGGATTGTTTATGTTCAGTTGGCATTTAAACTCGGTCGATGTTCGTGTCTACGTTTAAAAGTCTGTAAGTGCGGTTTGTTATTGTCAGGGTCAACCTATAATACCTGCCATGTGGGCATAGTTTTGTTTCATAATTTATTAAGAAGTATCAAAAAGTTAATCATCTGATCAGTATACTTTTTCATTTGCTGAATCACATGAAGTTTAGACTGACCTGCTGTTAAATACATCTTTACAAGCACACTAACACACAGACACATATACACACAGACAAATATGCAAACACCTAAATCTGGTGGCACACACACTAAGTCAGACATATTCTTACAAAAATTAGCCTGCATACATAAAGGCAAGGAATGCATGCTATTTGAAAATAAGATCCAAGCCGATGTGATATGTTTTGTGTTGTGTTATTGATGCTGCTATAATTGATGTTGTCAATGTTGTTGTTGTTGTTGGTGTTGTTGATGTTAATGTTGTTGTTGTTGCTGTAGATGTTGCTGTTGTTGCAGCAGTCATTTATCATGTTTATTTATGTTTGTGTCTGCATTTTTAATCTCATTACTACAATGTCTCACACAAAAAAGGCCATGTTTTGTAACAAAACTTCGCAGTTCAGTTCAACTTGCTAGCAATACTTTATTAAAAAACTTTTCGTACAATAATCACCTTCATCATAACTATTTAATTAACTTTTTTAATGTTTTTAGATTACGTTAAAAGAATTGATCAGACTAATTACTGACTTACTCACTAATTTCATCACGACATCCTCGCTGCTAAACCATTTTAAAAAAACACCAGACGTTCCTAATAACAATTTCATCTTTACTTATCATAGATATTTAAATAAAAATAATTATAATATTATCTGTGAATCTATATGGCGCAATTTAATACAACTCAACAATTTAAAAAAAATGTATGTTATTTTTTTAAAAATAATATTATGACAAAGTTACTATAAAAAAATAAAATTTATACACGGCTTAATGTAATTAATGTCATCATATTTTATATTTACCACAATCATCATCATCTACATTAGCATCATCATCAGCAGCATAAGCATCATCATCATCATCATTATCACAATCAATATTACAATCTTCATCATCAGCAAATTCATCATTAACAAGATTATCTATCTCAAAATCCTCATTAATATCCTTACTATAAATATCATCAAAGACGTCATCATCCTCATTGTCGTCATCATCATCGTCATCATCATCACCATAGTCATCATCATCATCACCATAACCATCATCGTCATCGTCATCAACAATACCATCATCTTAAATCATCTTACTTTAACCAATAACGCATACAATGAAGACTTAGTATTCTCAGGACAATCATCATCACTACCACCAACATCAATGTCTAAATCACCCAATGTCTGAATTACCATCCTCACAATTCATAACATCATCTCCACCATCATCACCATCATATCCATCACCGTCTACATCATCTTCCACCATCACCTCCCTCCCCATAGAACATTTGACGACATCATCGTCTGCCAGATACGATCGACGACGACTTGCAACCGCAGCAGCAGCGTCAACATTTCTGAACTGCGACAGAGGAGTTGGTCTGGTCTCCATTCAAGTCTCTCCTTCCTTTGCCACAACGGAAAACAACGTCTGTCATTTCTCAATTCTGTTTCTTAATCTTATCTATCTGTTTTAATTATTTCAGTAATTTGTTTTAATTATTTTTTATTCGTTTTTCATACTTTATAACATTATTTGCCTTTGTTTTTCTGCGTTATGTAATGCACGTCATGTATGTTATACAGTGTATTAAAACTTTTGTAGTGAATAGTGCAACATAATGACTAATTGATCGATTGATCTGGAGCGTAATTAACGCCTTCACAATGTTCATAAATATCAGGTGATGATTCATCATCATTGCATTCCTATTCTTAATTCTTCAGCACAACTTGTGCGCTTACAGTTCTCAATTACTTTGTTTATAATTTAAAGAAAATTTAGTTTCATTTCAAAAAAAATTAAATTTACTCTAATATATTTATTTTTTTCTGATCACATTTGTTTTATTAATTTTAATGAATTTATTTATCCTTATTTGCAAATTTCGAATCAGTGATAAAAATAATGATGACAGCGAAAAAAACAAACAAATTGACAAACAGACAAACAAACAAACAAAAACACGAGCGAACGAATGAACAGTCAAATGAACACACGGAAAAACAAACAGGCAAACAACATACAAACAATCAATTTATAAAACAAACAAACGAACGAACAAACAAAGATTTCAACCCAATCTCAAAATTAAAAAAAAAACTAACAACAGATGAAAATTTACTTTGAAAACGAACGGTGGTTAGTTAAAACTTATCCAACAAACCAATTAAGCACCAGGAACAGCAACAACAACAACAACGAAAACAACAACATCAACAACAAGATTACCATTATTCTCATATTTGACAGCAACAACATTAATACAGGTAATAACCAAACAAATCGCAACAAAATACAGTGCAGCAACAATCACAGCAGCAACAGCACCACCAGCAACCACAAACAACATCAACAACAACAACAGTAACAACATCTACAAATCAACAACAACATCAACAACGACAACAGTAACAACATCTACAACAACAGCAACAACATCAACAACAACAACACAACAACAACAAGGTTGATGATTCATACGCATTGATTTGTCCTCCCAATTGAAGCATCTTAGCTTCTTGTCTCATTTATCTGCACTGCTGTGTTCTGCAAAAATCTACTAGTACATACAATACAAAATTTTTAAATAATTTTTTTATCTTGTGTTCATTTTAATAAACCATCTAGAGTTAAAACTGATTTCTATTAATCATGAAACGGAATGAAATCTGAAAATTTATTTAGTTAAGTATGTAGTGTAGAGTTTTGAAGAAAATGACGAAGAACTAAATAACATTTTCAATAAATTCTCAAGTATTTCTCATCAGAACATAATGCTTTCAAATGAATCTGCTAAAATAATTTCAAATTTTCAAATGATTTCAAATTTGGAATTCAGTAGAAAAAAAAATTAATAATAATGTTTAAAACAATAATAGGAGTAATAATAATAATTATTATTATTATTATTATACAGGAACAATTTATGATATAAATTTGAATAAACTTCACCGCTCTGTACTTTTTTGAAATGAGCATATTGATACTCATTGACATTTCATTACAACTATTATTATTTATGTTATTATTATTATTGTTATTGTTGTTGTTATTATAATTATTATTAATAAGTCATCATCATTAATTGTTTAAGTGTTTTACTTATATATGCTCACGTCAGTCTATGAAGGAAACAAAAATTTTCAAACAAAATGATTTCTTTTGAAGCACTGATAAAGAAAATGAAGACATTTAAACAACTTTCTCAAAAACAAACAATGTCATTTCTGCTGATTGAGTGCCTGCTGGTTGGCCGACTGGCTGTTTGGCTGACTGCTGAACATTTTATCAGCAAAAACATTTTACGGATTTTTCATTTTTTAACTTTTCAAAGTAGTTCTTACTTACTAAAAACAGACTATTATTACAGTTACTAATACTTTATGTTGCATAATATAAGACAGCTTTACAACGGCAACAATTTCACAACAAAAATTTTACAACAACAACCTTACAACAACAACATTACAACTACAACTTTACAACAGCAGAAACAACAACATTACAACAACAACAGCAACATTACAACAACAACAACCCACGACAGATTACCTCAAGTACCAGAAGTGTTTCTCACAACCACGATTCGAATTGCTCATGAAAAGCTGCAATAAATCCCTGCACATGAACAAAGAGTTCAGCCACTCCTCCGAACAGCATTGCATGTTAGTAGCGCGTTTCAATTGCATCATTTCAGACGAAAGTAACTAACTCAATTTCAGAGAAAAACAAATTTGCAAATTTTCTGAAATCGTTTTGCCGTCTCGAGGCAATACTTAACAAATTTCTGCTGCGCATCGTTCAGGTGGCTCGCGTGATATTGAACGATTGATCAAAGAATTTGTATGATTGTGAGATTTGAAAGGCCTGTTTTTATTTGCTGAAACATTTTTCTGCTATTTTTTTGATTACTGAAATAATGATGATGATGCACTAATTGTGAGTGCATTTAAGAAATTGGTAGAATTTTTGAATTTTATTTCTTACCATTCATCATTTAAAATTTTTGTTTATTGTCTGTTTTTCAATGTTCTTATAAACTTAACGTTATAAAAGTACTTTTACTTTATTTGCCAGTTAAAAATGATTAAAATGAAAAAATATTTCACTTTGCCGTACCCTGCTGGAAACGTCACCTCACATCAAACCAACTCAACTTCATTTAAATTAATGCTAGCCACACGGCGTCGCAGTTCAATACTTAGATAATGCACTATAAGGTATGCTTATGGGTTTCAACCACCCCCAAGCCAGAAACATCTTTCATTGATTGCAATACTTCTTATCACAAAAGTAAAATCATTTGCGAGTACGCTCACATCCGTCTTGACAACATTCCCCTCCAAATAAAAATCCACATCAAAATGTATTTGTACGTAAAGGTTCAGAGATGAACCAGACACACACACACATAAACACAAATTTTTCACACACACACAAACACAAATTTTGCGCACACACATTTCAAACACACAAACATTTCACACAAACACACCACACACGCACACACATACTATTAGCACCCAAGGTAATGTTTTATGTGTGGCTGTACGTAGGTACGTAGATGGTTCTCCTTTTATAAATCATCATATGATGTTGCACCATTACATATATCATCATTTAAGGAAGAAATGATGCACTCTGCTGGTTATTTATGTATCCAGCTAAGTATCATTTTATCCTTCCTAGAGGCACAACATTTCAAGATTTCTAATACTTAACGCTGTCCTGGTAATAAAGTTTCAGTCGAGACAGTAGATTTATACCATACATACATAATTGTGCGCGCACAGGTGCTTGTGCATTGTTTGTGTTTCTATTTGTGCGTGTGTTTGCGAGAGCGAGAGAAAGGAGAGAAAGAAAGAGAAAGAGAGAAAAAAAGAGAAAAAGAGAAAGAAAGGGAGAGAGAGAATCCGTTAACGTGAAAGGCTCGGCGTCGTTTTTTACGCATGAAAGTTTGTATACGTGGAATGTTTACACGTGCAATAAATGTGTTGGTTTCGCATCACCCAAGTTGGAATGAGTGCTCGCGCTGTGGTGTCGTTTGAATAGTTTTGTATCAAGTATGTCACTGTTTGTAACGTGGGTTTATTATGGCTACCATGTTTATGTTTAAATAAAGCGCTCGCACAAGCTTGTTAACTGCTTGTTTATGGGCATCGTTGAATGTGCTGTGCATCGATCAGTCGATCATTACTCAGTCAGTCAGTCATGTATGTTCGTTCGTATGTCGCCAGACTGATTCAACGCCTTGCACTGGTTCCTTTATGCTCCTCATTAATTTCCATGCCTCTACATGTCTGCTCAACGTTTTATCATATGAAAACGCACTAAATTGTACTGAAATCTTTTTATTTATAATCAGAACATTTAATTTAATAATAGCGTGTCTTAAAGCCATTTATTATATATTAATATTTTTGTGAATGCTGGGCGAATTTGATTGTTGAAACTCGAAAAAGGCTTTGCTATTTGAATAAACACAAAAAAATAAGCCATCCAAATTTCAATCTATTTACACAATCTTGACATTCATCTGAAAATGTGTGGTGTGTTACGTGTGCGTGTGAATGTGTGCACGTGTGATCATCCATGCATGCAAATAAACCTTCACTGCTGTGTAATCCTCCAGTGTTTTACGAGCTTATTACTTTTTGTGTGTGCAAGTTCTAATTGTATGTGCATGTTTGCTTCCGCTTCTTTTTGCACCAACCAGCCTATGTTTTTCTTCCTATGTTTGTTTCGTGTTCAATATTTGCCATAGAGCACGTTGTGCAAGACGCAATGCATAAAACTAATTTTCAAGATGAAAATTGAACTGTCATTCAAAATGTACATGCATATTCAGTAGACGTCAAAAATTATACATTGCTCCGCTCTGAAAAAGCACAAAAATACATGCATGCATTCGTTCACGCACATTCATTCATTCATTCACTATATAATTTACTCATTCAGTCATGAGTTCATTGAGAAATTCCTCAAAGTGTTGTGTTGGTTGAGACTTGATTATGGCTACGTAAGTAAGATGAAAAGAATTGCTGTTTTTTATGCGCCATTCATCCGGCTGATAAAATGTTTCACGCATATAAACATGGTTAAAGTTTTAATCAGTGACTTCGTCGGCAAGATAGATAGATGCGCGTGCAGTTGGACCTGTCTGCAGTTGGCTGCGTTCGCGTGTGCTCCTCCTCCTACTGCCTTATTATGTTTATGGTGCTCAGGCGTTCGTTTTAACAGCTTGATGCAAACAGCTAAATTGAAATGTATGGCTAACCATGTTCACACCAAAAAAATTTAATTCATTTTTTGTTAATTGAATCTGGGCCATAAATTTAATTTTTGACGGTACTATAATCTCGTTATCAGCAGTTTCACCAGAGTTATCATCAAGTTAGTTATCGGCGGAGTAGCAACAGCTTTAGGTTTGTGTCGATAGCTGTTAAGTTGCCATTTGTGTTGAAAGGTTACTACATAAAAAATTTGGAAATTTAACTGATATCGCTATCAATCACAAAGAATAAATAAATTTCTGTCTAAAAATATCTGAACAGATAACACTATTTTGTTTTTTTCATCTGTTTACTGCTTTGCTTGTCAACTTGTTTTTGACTGACTTGCATTCCGTTATTTGATGTTGAGGACCAACTTTCAATAGCTGTAGGACTTGCAACTCAAAAATGAACGCCTTCCAAAGGCTCAAGTCCGAACGTTCGACAGCTATTGAAAAATAGCGATTGATTGTGATTGATTTGGCTTTTCTACAAAATGACAAGATGTCAGTGTTACTTTATAAAATTGATAGCCCTTTGATTGCAATTTTTATTAGATGCCAGTCGCTGTGTAACAATAATTAATTACAACATGGTTCATTCATATTTTATAAAAAATTTTCAACGTTCAAAAATGTTTTTTACATGCTACTACATTGATTATCATTATATTTATTTATTGTCATTAAATCAATGAAATCTTCATTCCCATCATGATAATTACCGACCCAATACAAACGTTAACATTTTCATTCTTCAATCATTAACATAATAAGTGTGAACACCACCACAATCAGCATCATCATATTCGTCATCATTAGCATCATCAGCCCCACTAACAGCATAAATTATTTTAATTCAGATTAGAAAACGATTTCTTGCGGTGCGTAGTTGCCTCAACGACCGACCTCTGTGGAGAAGAGGCGGCCAAATTTGAGAGGTCCCTGGTCCTCAAGATGAAACAACCTGCGCTACAGCTCAAGGGCTGTCTACTTGGTTGGTACTTTCTCTCTCTTTTTTTGTATTTTTTTACTTCCTCTCTTATTAATTTTCCCCATCTCTCCCCATCTTTCTTATTCATCACTTAATGCTTTCCCAAACGTTTATCTCTTTATAGTTTCAAACCAAACCACTTATCACAATGATGTTATTTTTACTTGATTTCATTTTTACTATATCTTTACACTATTTTGCTAATTTTATTATAAAATGCACTTTTATTATAAATAATTGTTAGTGCCAATGTTTTCAAAAAAATAATGCAACACATTTTTAGGCATTTTAAACCTGGTATTTAATTTTCATCAACCGTGCGATCGCTACTTTGCCATTAAAATTTGTATTTGGTTAATTTGTACATTTCAGGAGTTTAATCTTATTTTTTAATTTTAGCCCAAATAATGCTGCAAATAATGATATCTGCAATTATTTTTTGGAGTAATTTTTAGCTAGAGGAGCAAAATATAACGCGTATATTCCTTACTGGTATTATTTATGAATGTATGGTAGAGTTGGTAATTATGTCATTTTTGTGATTCGCACTGAGATGAAAGGCAATTTCATACCTTGAAATTTCGATAAATTTTTATTTTGAAATTAATTTTAAAAAAATCATTTCAATAAGTTAAATTTAAATATTTACTCAGTGAGTTTTTTTGTCCAGTTAAATAAGCAAGAATCACATTTCATTTTATGGTCCGGTTTATGGCGAATATCAATCAGATAGAACTACTAGTCTGTTTTTATAACATGAGGCTGTTATATATATACACGTTTTCATCCTTGTTATCCCGAGTTTTCGTTAATTATCGTGAAATGGAATTTAACAATCTACCAGCTAGCTAAAGTCTTACAATAATCTCAAACTTTGAATATCCAAAACCAACGGCTCACATCCAGAAAACATGGCGGAGACTTGTACACGTCTACCCCAAACGCAGCGCTAGTTTTGGTAGTAGTAAAAGAGAACTGGTAGTAGTGGTAGATGGAGGCAATAGTAATGAAAAGAACAAAAATAATACAAATAATAATAATAATGAAATAATTTGCTGTAGCCAATGCACGGCGTCGTCATTTTTGCTGGCTCACGCGAACCTCGCCTCGTTTCTTCTATCGAATTAATTAAACGAAATGATGTTTCTCAATAAGACGGCCCCGTCGTCGCACGAATAATTTCGCAGCGCAATCCTTTACGGTGATTTCAACATTGGCCATTTTCTGTATAAATAGGTAAGCTTAACGTATTCTATAAAGATATTCTTTTTCGTTCTACCGTAATGATAACTTTATGCAAGACAATTTTTAAAAAATGTATTTCGATAACGCCAAATGTTTTCATTGATGAAACAAAATAGATCACGTGTCTCTTTATTCAATTTCCCCAAAAATTAGAATGAGAATAACTGATAAAACTTTTATTTCAATAAGTTCATCTTACAAATTTTTAGAGATAATAATTTTTATTTAATTGTAATAGCGAAGATGAAAAACAGGTAGGATATGGTGTATGCTCAAGCAGATCTGAGACAGGCATATAACAACATTACCATGAACAGATAACGTGTGTTTTTTTAAAAAATCATCACAATCAAACCAGCACCAAATGTTTTGTTTTAAACTTTTGGCAAACAAACCGTCAGCAATAAAATGTGGCATGAAAACTTATTCAATTTTATTTCTGAACGTACTTACGCGACGGCACAAATGCATCTACAAATGTTTCCTTAAATCGATAGAAAATTAAAAATACAAATGAATGAATGAAACTCGAGAAAAGATTTTAAGAACTGCCAAGTGCAAATAACTTAGTGAAGAACAAAAATAAATAAATCGAAAAATTCTAAAACGAACTTAAAAAATTTAATTTTCGTTCGCAGCATCCGGCATTGCAAAGTTTAAATTAAAGAAAATTTCTTCGCTATGTACTTGAAATTTTAAAAAGTTTAGAAAATTTAATTCTTATTTTATTCGAAGCAGTGATGCTATACAAGTATGGAAGTTGAAAGTGATTACGTTTGCACCGAGGATCAATAAGCAGCGGGGTTTCATGCTGCGAACTTGTTCACTGGAAATGTGTACAGTACAACCAAAGGTTTATAGTCAAACCCGTCTTTAACGATCGAGTGTTATAAACACCGACAGCAACGACAGCAATAATAACAATCTGCTTATTCTGCTTGCTTTCATCATGATATGGAAGCAAGCAGAATTATGATTTCTCTTACATTTATTTTATGAATAAAGATTATTTCATTTTATTTATAAAAAACAAAAAACTGTATGATAAAATTTAGTGTAGCATTAACAAACATAGTCAACGTCGATAGTATACTTATAAATGTAGCTCTGGCTTTTAAAAATTTAAAATAACAAATAGAAAAAAAATTGGGTGGGTGGGACTAAAAATTTGAAATCTTAGAAAGAAGGATGAAGCGAGGTAGCAATTTTGAAGTATAAGTTTTTGCAGTTGGCAGAATTTAAGAAAGAAGATGTCAAGTAGATCTGGAGAGGAAGCTGGTCAGAGTGTCGTTCTTATACTGCACATACAATTTATTGAATGCCTCTTTAATTGGCCTGCAAGGAATGGCTGGACGATGTAGGCAGGCAACGTGATAGCCGCAAGATGATTTACGACCTGACGATGATAACTGTTGTTACAATAATAAAAACATCACTGAAGTACATAAGCAATAATACAATAATATTGTTAACACAATGTCAGATCACCTCCATGACAATTATATGGATTGTTATGACGATTAGGATTAATATTTTCATGTTGATGTGGGTTTTAATTTTATTTTTATCATGTGTAAAAAAAAACAAAAATCAAAATTTAATTCAAACAAAAACTTTGTTAATTATATAATTCAAAACGTTTCATTTTCTATGCTTCTTTTTCGTTTTGTGAAAAATTTTTCGAAAAATGAAATTTTTCACAATGAAAACAAACAACAATCGTTTGGTTTTTTATTTAAATTTTTATAGCGCTGCCTAAATAATTTAAACGTTCATTTGTACCTTTTGAATGTCTTCAAATAGAAAATGCGTCCATTCGACAAACAAAATGAAGCGAAGCCTGGAAAGCATCCATCCAACATTATTGTCCCGTGCTCACGTGGTTGAGCAGCAAAAGAAATAAAAATGCAATATGCCAGGCTTCAGAAATTGCAAAATAATGCAAGCCTGGCAAGCAGGCAGTTAATGTTGTTGCTGCTCTTTAGACATTTATTTGGCTGTTGTGCTGTTATGCTTGGAAAGTTTTGGAGAACGCGCCATGGCAATCATATTTTATTCGTCATGTTGAGTTTTTGTTTCAAATTATGATTGGCTAACAAAATTTAACGTAACTTTTTGGCATTGTGTCTCTAATTTAAAATTTTTTGAAAATTTCATCTGAGACTTTTAAAACTGTTTTCACCACTCGGCAAAGGTTAAAACTTTCATACATATTTTGTATCGCTTAATATACAAATAATATCTATAAAGAAAAATACTGTAATCAATTTATACAAAAAACACGAAAGAAAATTATTACCAGAGAAAGAAAAAAATGAGAGAAAAACAGAAGAATGTCAAGAAGCATGCAAAATAGATTTGTTTCAATGATTGATTATGTAATACTGAATATGATGATATTATTCACGATAATGACAGGAAAACCAAATTACATCGGCAAGCAGAAATCATTAAGAATAAATAAATGGCAATAGCAATATCAGTACCAGTAGCAAATTACAAAATAATCTCTTTTCACAAAACGGGGGATTATTCTTATAAGAAATTTTATATAAACACTGAGAATTTGAATGTAATGGTCAGCATATCACATGCACTCCACCATCATCAAAACATTTAATGTTGACAGGTTACATGTAGGTACTTGCATACGCACGCCAACATACATGTTTGTATATCTATGTATACATATAATAGCAGTAACATAACTTAATACAAAGAACCATACATACAAAGATAACATTCATATAACAGCAGTAACACATGTTTGCGTAAACAGACAGACACATGAGAAGAGTTTTTGATGGTCTAACTAGACGCACGTGATGTTTGATTTTTGAACAAATCAAACGAGTTTGATCGCTGCCCTGGGAAATTAATTGGAAGTTGTTGTGTGAAGTTTTGCTGTTGGGTTTGTTTTTAAGCCCACGCGCGAATCTATTAATTAAAACATTCATCTGTGCATTTGCGTAAAGTTTGGGAAAATGTTTATGCTTTCGTGATGGTGAACATCTTTATTTTTGTACGTTTTTACGTTCTCAGCTTATTTTATGATTTCAATGTTAAACATTCAAATCTTAAATAATGTTATTTTCAAATAGTTGGCAAAAAATAAAAGGCTAGTAAGTTCTAACAACATTTTTCTTTATCTTTGCGTATCTTAATTGAAGATAAAAAAAATGTCATCAAATATTGAAAAAATAAACTTAAGCGAGGAAGATTTTACATTTTTAGCTGAATTTAAAAGCAAAACACATAGCTGGGATTATGTAGAAAAGTAGATTTAAAATATGAATTAAAAGCAACACGATGCATCTTCTGCGTAATCTGCAGACATTTTGAAAGAAAAAAAACAATGATTTGAAGCTATGGATATATAGAAGGAAGTTAGGTTTGGAAAACAAAATTTATGACTCCAAACGGTGAAATATATTCTTACGTTTCATAGATTTCCGTAAAATATTTTCAAATTAAATTAATTTTTTTTACAAAAATTTACTTAGATAACAATAATTAGTTGATGATTTTTTTTTCATCATTATGCTATTTTCAAGTAGCTGGCTGAAAACTGAAAAATCTGCAGTTGGAATGCGCTGATTTAAAGAAAAAAAGTTTCATTGTGACATTTTGTTAGTAGCATCAAACACCAGGGCTTCAAACACTAATCAACTAAATAATTATGAAATTTTAATGTGAAAAATTTCTATTAAGGTAAACAAGAAAAAACAACTGAACTAACTCAAAAGTGTATCGCATGTACTTATGTCTGGTTAACAAATTTTAAAATGAACGTATTCATTCTGAGTAATGAAACAAATTCATTTTTATACATAATGCAAGAAAGATTTTTTTTTTAAATAAATAAATAATTGTTTATAAGCATCATAGCAGACGCCATCATTTGTGCCTTCTTATTTGAGATAATTTTCTTATCTCAGTGCTCAAAAACATCTAATCCAAATTAATAGTTCTGTACTGTAATTCTGTTTTGTATGGTGTCTACAAATCTAAAATGTCTACAATGCAATGCAAAATAGAATAAAAAATAAAAAAAATGGCAAAATGAAAAAATTGGGGATTTAATAATTGGAGGTCGTTTAAAAGTAGATAACAAGAACTGTCGATTGTTTGTTTGAGAGTTTCTTGATAGTATGATAATGTTGTTAAAATCCTTGCCATGTTCACTCGCAACTACAAACTTACTTTTAAACTCCAAAAATTAATGGAGGCACACTTATTCATAAACATCATACACTTGCACTTACATATACACAACAACATACACATACACTTACACACACACACACACACTTACATACACACACACGCGCGCGCACACGCACACACACACATGCACTTATACAAACAGAAAAGCGCATAGACATACGCAGAGGTACTTACACATACAAACAAACACCCTCACGATTACATGCATACGTTTGAGTGTTTACGCTAAAAAGAATGACATCAAATGCAGAAGTCTTATTGAATTAACTTTTAAAAATTTATTTCAAAAATTGTAGACAGTCCATCCTTGCGGTACAGTCTCGCCATTGTGATAACAACGACCATCGTACAAAGAATTTTGCTACTGACGACGATGATGACGTCATTTCCTACAAATATGAACATGATTACGATTATGATGATGACGATGACGATATTGGTGGTGATGGTGTTTAAAAATAATGAGGCGAGGACGCATTAGTAATTTTTACCATGATGATGATGAGGATGATGATGATGATGATGACGACGACGATGATGATGACGATGATGACGATGAAGATGACGATGATGACGATGATAAGGATTATGTTAATGATGATGATGATGATGGTAGTGCTTGTAGTCTGAGTTATAGTAACCAATTGAATATTAAGATTAATCGTCGTTTTCATCATTTGGAAAATTAAAACTTCGATGACATCATAATAGTGATGACGCAAAATACAGTGATGACGATGATAATGATAAAGTGATAATAATCGTAATAGCAGTAATAGTAATGATGATGGTGAAAAAAGTTTCAAAGTGAAGTAACAACGAATGAATCCATAGCGGACACAGAGCACAACAAATTTGAAAAATTCTTCATCAGAGAGCAAGCAGACTGCATGAATGAAAAGTCAAGAAGCAGCATCGTAACAACAATATTATCATCATACATTCTCCATCATGTCACATTACCAGCGACATCAGAGAAACCAATTTCAACAAGTATGACGTCATCAACATCATGGACATCATTAACAATAATGACATCATCAGCAACTATTACGTCATCAACGGCTATGACATCATCATAAACAACGCAAGAAACAAAAGCAAATAGGAAGTAGTCTCCTTTGCGTAATCAACAACAAATCATCATCAACAACAACATCAATAACAACATCAACGACAACATCATCAACAACATCATCAACAACAACAACATCAACAACAACATCAACGACAACACCATCAACGAAACAGTTCCTACTAATCTCTAGAACATTCATC